TAACAAGTGCCACGCTAGTAGTAACAAGTGCCTTACTAGTAGTAGCAAAAAGCTATTAGTATCAAGTGCCTAGTAGTAACAAAAAGCTATTAGAATCAAGTGCCTTACTAGTAGTAACAAGTGCCTCGCTACTAGTAACAAGAAGCAAACCTTACTCAGAGTTGGACCTTCTCCCGAACTGCTGAGATCCCACGTTCATCAGAAGCGTTCAGCTCCTTCGAAGCGCGAAGAAAAGCGTCGAATGAGAAAAAGTCAACCAAGTAGAACTTCAATTTGTTCACGATTCATTTTCATAGCGATGGCCTCCAACCTAATAGCAACGGCCTCCGAATTTCCTTGCAAAAAACATGTGTATCTTGGTCTTTTCGTGTGGACAGAAGCACGGTTTAATAACTGAGCAAAGGGAGATTAACGTGCGTTGGTCAAGCACTATCTCCTTGACCCTTGACCGCCATTCGCGCCCAAAAAACTGTTTCATGAGAGCCAAAGCCTGAGAACTTGCCGCTGTGAATTGTCGACTATTCTAATAGGAACAATGATGCTACTCGGGGCTGGCATCGCTACTAGGAGCGATCGGACGCTACTAGTAGCTCCTGGCCTTACTACTATTAGGAACAAGAAGCTCCTAGTCTAGTCGCACGTACAATTGTTACTACTAGCTTCTTGTTACTACTAGTAAGGCACTTGTTACTACTAGCGATGCTCTTGTTCCTAGTAGCTTCCTTGCTCCTAGTAGCAAAGGGCAAGATTTGTCCTGTTCGCGACTTCATTTCATGACCAAGTGCGCTGCAACGGTCGTCTTGCCAGTTCCAGGTGGCCCATAGAACCTGCCAAGCAGATTTCAAGACAAAAGAACAAACATTAAGAAAAACATCTAGTAGCGTCCGATCGCTCCTAGTAGCGATGCCAGGAGCCCCTAGTAGCTTCCTTGCTCCTAGTAGTAAGGCCAGGAACCCCTAGTAGCTTCCTTGCTACTATTTTGTCTCTTGCCACAAACTTGGCTCAAATTGTAAACAAGACGGGCTGGACATGAGATTCGGCAGCTCACCTATGGCAACAACAAAATAGTAATCATGAATCGTGCACCCCACAGTACAGCAACGACAGGTGCAAACATGTGCTCTTGCAAACTTGCCTGCCAGGATACTTGAGATACCAGGGAACTTACATGTACGGGCACTATGTACGACGTGATGTTATTTGAAGGTGGCTTGAAAGCAGGGTATGTCTTGATTTCATCCAACGTTGTACAAACCATAGAGGGTCTAACCTTTCTTACGACAACGAGTGTTTCTCCGCGAAGCGCATCATTCAAAAGCTTTCTAACACCTCAAAGCCTCAGGGCTATCAAATGCTGCCAGCAGCTACAAACACTTAGGTTTACTACCCGACTGTCCAGCACAACGCTCCGTCATCTATTTGTTCCTTTCATCCTTTCACAAATTTTCAGACTGCTATGAGTTCCTTTTGCTATTAGGTTAGAGGCCATCCCTATTAGGTTGGAGGCCATCACTAGTAGGTTGGAGGCCATCGCTATTAGGTTCCTTTGCTAGTAGTTGGAGACTGTCCCTCTTTTCCTTGCCTGTCTTCAAACTGTGCTGCAATGCAGCCACGACCTCCTCCTGAAAGCGTTGTCGTCATGATTTCACAGAACACTTTCCGATGATCTCTTTTAACATATCTCAGTATCTCTTCTTTTTAAATACCGAACTTTCTTACTCATTGATCTTTAAAAGTGATCAAAAACTGTTCAAGATATTGGCTTTGTAATATATGTTGTAATATTTGTCTACTAGGAGCAAGGACGCTACTAGGGGCTCCTGGCCTTACTACTAGGAACAAGAAACTACTAGGAGCAAAGGGCATCGCTACGAACGGAGCAAGTAGGCGCCTACTTTGTCTGAAATCTGCATTTCGTTGGCTTTGTTTCCAAAGGACGTTCGGTCCGGGTGTCGACCTCGCCTGCTGCGCAACATCTTCAATCCGGTCTGGTCGGTATTTCTCCACCCACGGAAGGAGACCTGGGTATTTCTTGCACCAGGGTAGGCGGGGTAGGTCTTCTGAGCTTAAGTTGTAGAGGTAAAACAAGTAAATCTAAGCAACCACACTCTCTGCTCAAGTTGTTAAAAGAAAACTTAAAGAATCCTTCGATTAACTTTGATCAAATTAAGCATGCTGAGCCGACTTTGAAGCGGGCTTAGATACACTCGTTGCACTCTCAGCAGACTTAGCTGTCTCCTAGAATTTCATCTTGAAAAACATGTTCAAATGGGTGTTTTTCTGCGTAACACCAACTTGTCGGTCTGGCCATCTTTGGGATCTTCCAGCTTCTCCTGCACAAAGGCAGTGGCATACAAACAACATGCAGAGCGAACTTAATCAAAATGTGCAATCATTCAAACTCCGCCACCTCTGTCTTGGCCCGTTTGGAGGCCATCTGAGCGCGCACTCACGGAACATCATGCTACAAGGATCATGTCTAAGGCGAAGTGGACGAACATGGAGGAACACTATGACAAAGTGCTGTTGCAACATGTTGGGCAACCGGGAGGGGTTAGCCCGGAAAGCAACATGCACAGGGCAAAAAAACACATGTCGTTTTACAGGTTGTTTTTGCCCGTCGGGCCACTCAACTCATCGTCTTGGCCTGACTGAATCAAGTAGGCGCCTACTTGCTCCTAAAAACGATACCCATTGCTCCTAGCAGCGTCCTTGTTCCTAGTAGTAAGGCCAGGAGCCCCTAGTAGCGTCCTTGTTCCTAGTAGTAAGGCCAGGAGCCCCTAGTAGCGTC